ACGTCGTCTCCGCAAGGGCCTGATCCCGCTGGAGACCTACATGAGCATCGGACGGCTTCCGTCGGGAGGGGCCATCCGCGTATCATTTGGCGTGGCGTCGAATACAGCAGATGTAGATCGATTTTTCGACTTTGCTACCCAAACCTACCGGGACCGGGTGCCTGATACCAGTGGATTCAGCCCGCGTGAGGGGTGCTGAAGGGGGTACTCAATGAGGATGTGTACATGTTTATCGAGTCGATTTGTTATCGTAATGTCCTGTGTATAGCTGTCATACAGATTACCGTGTTTAGGGTAACGGCGTTCCCATTGGTCTTTGCATTTCTGCGCTATTGATCGTATTCCCTGCTAGGGCGTGTTCGTCTTACTAGGATTGGGACCAATATTTGGGTCAAATCGTAGTCTGACCCGGTCAAACACACCCCCACCCATGTGAATCTGTCTTAGATCGGGTATCTGGCCGGGATGGACTAGCGATCCCACTATGCTTGATGCAGACGAACCAGGAGGGGTTCGGATGTCTCGGGGGCGAGATGAATATAGGGCACCTCGAACCGGGGGGGCCAGCAGCAAGCTAGTAAGCCACGATGGTGCTCCTTCGGACTGTGCCTCCATCCAATCAGTGTGGGCATGTAGTATATCTGGGCTAGCTGAGACCAGGCCAAGCATCCTGAACAAAGCTATTGATGTGATGAAAGTAAAGTGCTGTTCATCATCCCTCCTCCAAGATGCACAGCCACATATTGATCGGCATGCGCCACAGCCTCGTGGGCGTTTGCTTTTTGCTGCGGTCGATCCTCTCGATCGCATCCGCTGCGACCCATGATGTGATTTACTTTGCGTCGCATGAACCAGTGCCTTCCCTTCTCCACTTTTAGTAAACCGGTTTCGATCTAGTTCTCCCATTATCGAGAGGGGTTGAACCCCGAGCCCCCGAAGGATCTGAGATTCGATTGTTTTGTGGCGGTGCTGGGAATCGTCGATCACATTCGTCCATCTTGCTGATGCAGGGATAATTACTCCACCACGCTGCTACTTTGTACATTTTCATCTTCAGCCCTGACACATGTCTGACTTGCTTACGCAGTCCATCAACATCTCCACGGAGTAACTATCTGAGATGTCCAGCCGTCCATCAGCTCAGCCCTTTCTCTCCCTGCTGACCCACCATTCCGAAACAGGGCATCGGTCCCTGCCAAGACCTTGCAATGGCTTCCTTTTCTCCAGCTAAGCGCTTGCTCCCCTCCGCTCGAGCGCATCGCATGTAACCTGCCAGTGTCTCGCGGGATCATCGGGTGTCATCTGTCAGCTGCAGCATATGCATGCAGCGGGGTACTACTTTTCGACTGAATATGCTGTTTGCTGCCTTCGCTGCCTAACGCCTGAATCGCCTTCGTTGCCTTCGCTTAATAACCTTGATTCTTGGCTACCAACGATCCTTGTAGCCTTGAACGCGTCAGCTTGGAGCTAGGGAACGATTTGTGTGTGTGGATGGCTGAGTCTATGGGCTAGTACGGTGCCAACCCTCTCCGGCTGAGACGGCAGCTCTTGTCCCTCGGGAAGGTTATTGTTATGGGGTAGATGTGTACAGTTTGCCTAGCATAGATATAATATGGTATAATATACTGCCATCCCTGAGGGGATATTATGTCAATGCTAAGATTTCTGTAATCTTACTTAGGGTCCGTGAGACGAAGTATAGTACTTTGTCCCGTAACCAGTCCGACTGCTTAAAGATATACCCTTTCAAAATGTTTTCACCCATTGTTTCTCCTCATCAGTACTTGTCTCGATCAACTACATCTCAATACACAAAGATATTGTATCCATAGCATCCTAATATGCCTTAGACCCTAGTTCGATGATGGATCGTAGAAGGACCATCCCCGTTCCCCACCGCAGTTTCAGAAGGTTTCATCTAGAAACACCCGATATTAAGCTTAACCTTTTATAATTTCATCATCTTCCACGTCCACTTGCACATTGCAGCTGCATTCACACCTGGCGTGTTCATTCCCATTCATTCATTTTATACGTTCTTATTGATCTTATTCGTCACTCCTTAGACTATACAACCTTAGCCAATATGTTCGCCCCAACCACTCTCCTCCCCCTTCTCGCTTCCTCAGCGCTGGCGCTGCCCGCCCTCACCACCCGCGCTCAAACCCAATCCTCCACCTCCCTCTGCGGTGACTACGACTACATCATCCTCCAGGACTCGCCATGGATCGTGTACAACATGCTCTACAATGCCGACGAGATCGTCGGTACCCAGTGTACCGACTACGGCGAGATGACTACCTCCACGAATGGCACGAAGGAGGTCGTTTGGAGTAGTGTGACTGATATTGAATATGTGGAGAGCACGTAGGCCACCTTCCCCTCCTTTCCTTATCCCATACTGCTAAATGTATCACTAACGATGGTTATAGGAACAATGTCCCTAAGGGATACTCCTTCGTCGGACTGACCCAGAACCTCGAGACCAAGATCTCGGCTATTGAGTCCATTCCAGCTGAATATACCTGGTCGAGGACGAATACTACCGCCTTCAAGGGTACATACCCCTCCCTCTCTCCCAACTCTTAAGATTGATTCCGGCACTAATGATTGGAATGCTATAGGCAACGTCTGCTTCGACTTCATCACCTCCCCCACCAAGGGCGACTCGACCTCCACCTCCGCCCACGAACTCATGCTCTGGCTACAATACGAAGGCGGCCAGCTCCCTATCGGCTGGACTAACGGGGCTGTTGCCACCATCGATAACCTCTTCGGCACGTCCTGGAAGCTGTACGAGGATGTGAACGAGGATTCGGGTGTCACTGTTAGCTCGTTGTTGCCGGATACCCAGTTCGAGGGTTCCTTCGAGGGTGATCTCAAGGAATGGTTGTTGGAGTTGGTCCAGTTGGGCAAGTTTACTAAGGAGGCGTATGTGAATGTTGGGAACGGAGGGTGAGTTTTTATTTCTTCTTACTTTGTCGGAGATTGGGTGAAGAGACGCTAACAGGGGGGTGTGAATTAGTACCGAGTTTTTCTACGGTAACTCGGTTATGAATGCTACCCTGGGGTTGCAGATTAACTTGGATTAGATTAAGGGGGATTTGGAGAGGTTGGGTTTTGTGGGATGTACTTCCGTTCAGGAAGTGGTTTGCGTTTGCATTCAGGGACCATTGAACTCTATGGCCGGGATTGTGTAACCTTGGTGGCACATATAGCCTGTGGCTAAAACCTGCTTCAGGTGTAAGATTAACCTTAGAACCTTATTTGTTTCTTGTAATATGCGAACCATCTGTGGTTGACAATCTGCTTCAGGGCGATCGTTCCGGCAGGAGGCAATAAGTTGTTTGTATTATTAATGAGAGCTGTATTCCTGTATTGATATCCTCATTTTCTAATATTTCGGCAAGTTTTCTTGTCTATACACTTATGAGGCTTGGCGAATGAGGTTTCTTGTGTCTTTGGATTCTTTGTTGCCTGGTGGATGGAAGAGAGACAACCAAGGAGATATATATATAATAAAGCGGGACATCATTCTATTTATATCCAAGCGAAAAGGTGGCATGTAGTGACTTTATCCAGGAACAAGTGTAAGAGATGTATGTGAAACAGCAATGCCACCCTACAAAGACTAGATACCCCCAGAAGCCATCAAGTTCCTTGGCCTGGCCGCGTCTAGAGTATGGCCCCGCGTTGAACCACCTAATTGTTAAGAAGTTGATGGGGAAATGCAACATGTCCGGAGATGAATCCCGCGGAGATGTTAGTTGTTGAGTTATACAGTCTTGGTAATTGATGGTAGACCAAGTTCAATGTCAGTCTTACCAAAAGTATCTAGATATGAAATAGATGACATATTTGTCAAAGACTTACATTTCACATTCTGATATTGATTCACGTGACCACCAAGGCACAAGATATCTACCTAGTACATCCTACTCTATTGGGTAGTCTGGTCCAATAGAATGAAGTAAGCGAGCCATCTATGCGTTAACTATCCGAGGCGACACCTGACGAATAAGTAGATGGATGGATGGCCACAACAGGGACGGAACCGAGCGGAATCTTCCTCTTCCGCCCGGGACCCATTCACGTGACTCAACGAACAACCCGCGGCGGAGATAACAGCCGGCGATAACAGTCATCCAGAGTCAAGTCTCGGCACATTCCGATGTGCGCAACTCAATTTTACTCAAATGAAAAACCTTGCCTCTGCCTCGCCACCCACCCATCTTCCCCTTGAGATACTTCATAGTAGTGAGACTAAGTGACCGGTTTTCGATGGGGCTTGATGTGTGTCCCCTCCTTGCGTAAACAGATTGTCCCAACCACTTTACCAAAAATCAAAGCAGTTCTGATACCACTTTTTGTGTGTTTCATATCGGAGCCTCAGTGAATGAATACTGGCGTCCCGCCATGATCTTGGCGGTGGTGTTTATTTTGTATATTCTGTATATTCTTGAATCTGTCACCTTTGATTAGAAATCCCTAACCATTGGTACCACCGCTCAAGTATGGATCCTAGGAATGTTCTTCGTTTCGAGAACCATTCCTCCGGCCCAGGACTATCTATCTAGCTGAATCCAGTAGAGGGAACCGGGCACGGATCCATCGGGACCCAAAACCACCCACCGAGAGGCTCAACAATAATACGGAAGGACAAAAGTAAGTAATCAGAGAGAAGACGGCTCGGAGTCGGAGGGGGCTACTCCGGTGAGAGAAAGAACAGGACACTTTCTATCCCGCCACTGTGATTCGTGGTTGCAACAAGTGGCGGGTACCTGCAGCACTGGCCCGGTTCATTGTTTGGCCGCTCGCTTCCCAAGTCGTGTTGCAGTGGCCACGCATACTTACCACACATTGCTTCCTCCCTAGCGAGATTGCCACCCAGGCAATTGATGGATTGCCATGACCAACAGGATGATCATGGGTTGACTGGGAATGCAGTGTCACAGAAATAGCAGTTAGTCAATAGAATCCAGTCTTTTTAACTAACTGCCATGATAAAAGGGATTGATAAAAATGCTTATCGAGATTAGGAGCGGCGACCAAAATAATAGCGATCTGCTGCACGATAGTGGGAAATGCTTGCTGCACTTTAGCTTTAAGCTCCTGGACCGGTGAGGCGACCGGCAGCTGTCTAGGCCCCAAGCTGCCTAGCGGGTTCAGCCTCCGGATCGTGGGCGTTGTTGAGCGACGGCAATCGATGGTCACTAGATACCTACTTAAGTCTAGTCTGCCTGAAGAGCCGAGCAAGTGAGGAACGACAATTAGTCAAACCACATGGTTGATAGATAACTAGCTACTACCTACCAAGCTACCTATCGAGTTATCTGCCGAGTATCTCCTCGTTCCCACGCGATTCTCCTGCGGGGAAGCGACCATCGGAGCTGGCAATGAGCTGCATGATGCCGTTCTTGTCGGCAGCCCCATCCGGCCGGGGACAGCGTAGCATCGGGGACGCTGGTAGCGACGGCGCCGTGCTTGGCGGAGTCCATCCATGGTTTCCTGGTGTCATCTTAACCTTCATGATTGGAGCGGACAGTCCGCCATCGGGGAGATGACCAATTATTCATGGTCATCAACCTCGGGTGCGGTCCGATCAGCGAGTGTCCGGTGAGGAGAGGAACCCATTGCTGGTCTCAAAACGGTAGAAACATACGATGGGCCTCGTTGCTTGAGTTTTTCCCCACAAGCCCGG